CACCCTCAACCCCGCGCCCTGCGTGGATGCTGGAGCCGTGCTGCGGCCCTGCAGGTGTTGGCCTGCAAGCCCCTCTCCGCCCCCCGTTCCCTGCCTGCTCTGCCTGGAGCTGGCCCCGAGCCCGGCAGCGCGTCTTGCAGCCAGTGCTGCTGCTCTCCAGCGCCGGTCTGCCCCGGGACACACACAAAGCGGGGTACGTGGAGAAAGGGTGGGCGGGAAGGGTCTTTCCCCCAGCTACTGTTTCTCCAGCTCTTCCAGGGCATGGCTGCGGCTCAAGATTCCTTCTGTTGCCCTGTGAAGCAGCTGCAGCTCTCGGAGGAGCAGCTGGCTGCCAGGACAGCTGGGGGAAGGTGTTGCTGCCTGCTAGCTAGCTGCGAAGGCTCACAGCCGGAGCTCACCCACAGCAGGTGCTTCCCGGTCTTGCCTCCCCTCTCGGCTTTGCCCTGGCTTACTCCTGTGAGTAGGTCTGTCTCCGCGGAGCGGAAGACCTCCCGTGACGTGTGGCAGCCCATGAAGGGGCCTGGCGCTGCCAGCGCTGCTCCTCACCCGGGGCTTGGAAAGGCGGGTGGCCCCCGGCCCCGTGAACACTCCGTGTTCCTCCTTTGCTGTGTGTGCTGCGCGGGGTGAGGGTGAACACGTGCCCTCCTGCCCTGTCCTTTGTCCCCTCTGCTCCACTCTCCCGCTTCGGTGTGTTGCTACAGGACCGTGTTGGCAGGGGCTTAACCCAGGGCTGCACCCCTTGGCTCTGATGTGGCACCCAGCCATGGCTGCTTGCCCCACCCATCCTCTGCCTGGGGGTGAAGGGCTCTGTGCTTCCTTCCCGCACCTTACCGGGGACGGCTGCATCAGGGGAGCAGTAAATACATGAGCTGAACTTGGTGGGGTCTCGCCTGTGGCTTGTCATGGATGTGGGGTGCCACCTGTGCTCCCTGCGTTCCCCATCCCCTTGGCCTCCCCCACGGTGTGATGCCTGCTCTGGACCGGGGGGTGCTTCCAGCAGGACTTGGCATTTGGTGTGTTGGTAGTCCTAAGGGTGAAATCGCACCTGGGGGGGGGGACGGGACACTCAGGGTGTTCCCAAACTGGTTCCAAGTGCAAGGTTTTGCTTCCTTGGCCCGGCCTGCGTAAATAACCTGTCTCCAGCGCGAGGCTGGAGGAGCAGGTGGGCTGCTCCGGGGGCTGGCTGAGCCCCCAAGCCCCCCTTTGCCTGTGGGGCTCCAAGCTGGGGTCCCACCAGCCTCCCTGGGGAGGGGGTTCTCCCAGCGAGGGCTCTCCCCGGGCCCCTGCAGCTGCAGGGTGCTGGGCTCCTGCTGACGCATGGGAGCAAAGCTCCCGGGGCCGGTGCAGTGTGCTGGGGGCTGTTTGCCTTGGGCTTGCACCAGCCGCGCTTTCCAGCCTGGCACAGCCAAGGAGGGAAAACTGCCTCCAGCAGCTCCCCGCTTTCCCTTCTCTTCCTCGCCCCATCCCGGCTGCCAAGCTGATGACTACGTGGGCAGGGAATGCTATTAAATGGCTTCCTCTAACGCCTGCAGCAGATGCGGGCAAAATCCCTGTGGACACCTAGGTGAGGAGCTCGACCAGCTCCTTCCCCTGCGCGCAGCTGAGCATCTTGCCCCCAGCCTGGAGCTGGGAGGGAGGCGAGGGCTGTGCCCAGGAGCTGGCCGGGGCTGGGGGGAAGCTTGGCAGGAGAGCGGCTGCGGCCCTGACTCCATGCCAGGGGAATCCCAGCGCGCTCTCCTCGCATGCATTCCTTCCCACGCGTTTCCCTGGGAGCGCTGACCCCGCTCTTTGATAGCTGGTTTCTCTTGCCGACCCCTTGGATGCCCGGCAGCCCCGAGCACAGAGGCAGCCAGCTCTCCCAAGGGGCTCTTCGGGGCGGCGGGGGGGAGGACGGTGTCCCGTGTCCCCCGTCCCCTGCTCCTGGCGGGTTCAGCCCCGAAGCATCCGGAGAAGACAGCGTGGGCTTGGGCCTGAGGGAGCGGGAGTGGCGGGGCGGGGGGGAGGACGGTGTCTCCCCCGTCCCCTGCTCCTGGCGGGTTCAGCCCCGAAGCACCCCCCGACGACAGCGTGGGCCCCCCCGAGGGCG